CATGGTTATTGCTGTGCTTACACCAGTGAGGCCTGGGGACAAAAGAGACTATTGAGTATCCAGGTCCCTCAGCTGAGCTCCAAGGCCTTGCTTCAGTGAATCAAGAGTTTATTTGTTCCAAACAGGAGAGCTGCAGCCAACAAGATGAGACTGATGTAACAAATCCAGCAGTACTGCAATAGGGAGGTGGGGAATCATGATTCAGGGAACCATGGTGTGGGAATCATGATTCAGGTCCCTTCCACTGATTTACCAGCAAGAGGTCAATGCCCTCCCACCATGTTTGCTGTTGTGTCTGTTACCTCTACCCAGCCTGTATCTTGGAAAAACTGTGCTCCCACAATCCTGACTGCAACTGTGTTTGCAAGTGAACAGTCTTGGATGAGGACATCACTGACCAGTCTGATTATGGAACATGGAACCAAATACCAGAGCAGAGCACAGATGAAGACAGGCTGTACATAGTCCTGTTGTTTTACAGCTGGCCTTAGCTCTCCTCATGAATATCAATGGGAGTTTTATTCTTGACTTCAAAGAGCATGTGACTGAGCCCAACATACCATACAGTTGAGCAAGTGAGAAAACAGTTTCATCACCAGGCAGACAACTGGTTTGGCTGAATAGACAGCTCAGAAGCTTCTGTCATGTGCAGGTGTCACAGCAAAACCAAGGACATCATAGCAGTGACACTACAAGAGTGTAAAAAAAAAAAAGAAAAAAGAAAATCAAGAAGAAAGGAAGGGAAATGATGCAAAATGACAAAATCATCTAAGGAGCAGAAGGTAGGAGAGAAACAGTAAAAAGTAAATGTAAGACTGGTTTCCTTTGAGAGCAGGTTCTGATGTACACAAGTGCAGTTGCAGGATGACACATCAACACTTTGGGGGAAGCTAAATGGATGTGTTTGTCTCTCTCAGTAACACATCCAAACTAAAACTCTTTTCACTACAGTAAAATTGTAAAAGAGGAACATTTTGCTGGGCTTGATGCAGATGTACCCTGTATATCTGCACTATAACATCACTAACACCAAAATCCATCCCAGCCAGACCCAGCAGACACACACACACACTCATTTCTGAAAAAAACTATCAAAACACAGAGCTTGCTTAAAACTTCATTTATTTGTACTGTAAGCCAATGGATCTTGAATTAACACAGAAATGCACTGCTGGGCCTCCTTGGGAGCTATAAACAATTGGTGCACTTGTCATGTAAATATACACAAGCAATTAATTGATAGAGAAAAGGTACAGAATTCTTTACACACACACTCACATTGGGTATACACACACACACACACACACAGGGTGTTTCCAGTTTCCATTTGTAGGTAACATAATAGCAGAACTACCTAAGCCCACTTTGTAATAAGCAGGTAAATAGCCTAGAAAAACTCACTTTATATAAATGATGAAAGCAAATAGTAAAATACACACTGGTAGCCTGACATTTTCTTAAATGGCTTTGGGCTAAAAGGGGGTGCTCAGCAGCTCTTAACATAAAGCCCCTATTTATTTATCTTCAGCACGTTTAGGTACAATACAGCAAATTTTAAACCTGACTATTTGAAGCTGATACAGCAAGGACTTGGTTACATGCTCAACTTTATGCATTGCATATATAAACCTACTGACTATACAGGCAAAATTCAGGGTGCCAAACACTTGCTGGGTGAGGTGTATGTTAAATAACCCAGGCACAGTTCTCTGGGCTTTTTCTCTCTCAGTGTGGAAGGTGATTTTTTTCCTTTGATACCAATGGAGTGTCTATTCATTTAAGTAACACCATTTTCCTTTCCCTCCTATGTTAGTGTTACGTTAACAAAGGTGTTTTGGTTACATGATACCATTGGAAATAACTAAAATACATGAGAGGAAGGGGAAATAAGGAAATAAAAGTCTACATAAGTATTTACACATCCCATTATTAAAATAAATGAAGGCACAAGAACAAGGAATTAGCCACAAATATGAAATACAAAATGAATGAAAATTGGTTTCTAAGATTATAATATTAAAATCAACTACTGTTACACCAAACAATAACATGGTTTTCAAACTGTAAGAAAAATATAAATTAATCACTCTAACCACAAAAAAAAAAAGTTACATACTTGTTTTAAAACACTTTGGAGAGATCAAATTATAGCTTTTTTTTCCTCAGCAAAAACACATCAGGGGGGAACATCCCCATTCTTCCTGCTACAGTAACAAAAGCCTTCATGTTAAAGCATATATTTCATATATCTTAATAGCTGTTGAAAACATAACACAGTTGTTTCTAAACATAATGTAGCACCTCCTGTAAACATAAAAAGCACTGTTTTAATTTCTAATAATTTTATATGCAATAATGGCTTTTTTTTTTTTTTTTTTTTAAATGAATTCCATTCCTTCACTGTAATGTGCCCACAGTTGCAGGGTTCTGCTGAATCACAGCTTACACAGCCACAGCCTCCTCAACTTCAGAGGCTTAGCACCAGGGTTGCAACTGTCTGGACAACAAGACATTTGCTCTGCAACTTTCTGTGCCTTGTAGATACCACAGAAATGAGGAATTCAGAGCACCCAGCATGTCTCACCTATCCTCATTTTACTAGCATTCCCTTATTTGAAAATAAGGAACAAAACACAAGCTAATACTTTTTCACAAGTTCTCAGCATTGCTAACCTAAAAGGTTTACCTGTCATATGTTAGGCTTACATTACCTTCAACTTTTTAAAACAGCATGCTTCATTTTCCTTTCATTGCCTTCTGGTTCTAAAGTCTTTTCTCTGGAGTTGGAAATGCACTGTTCTTTTGAAGTGGAGACTAAAACTTCAGTTGAAATAGAAAATACTAAGGCAAGTTGTGACAGAGAGTAACATCTACACCTAAGTTGAAATGCCTTTTTGGGTCCCAGGCTTTCAATCCAAATAGATGCAGAGCTGCTTCTGTTCTTTCCATGTCAATTTACACTTACGTGGCAAAGGCTACAAGATAACGACCTGAGTCAGAAACAGGCACAAATTGTTGATTAGAATTTGCAGCACGTAGGGGTGTGAACAACAGGCATTTCTGTTTGTCACGCCTGTGAGGACTAGCACAGACCAGCAGTGAAATTGCTGGGACCAAGACCGGATGCCCCTTGTTCCAAGGCTCTCTCCTCACACCTCCTCTCCTCAGATGTCTCCCTAGTGATGCTGTTTGCCATGTGGCCTTATTCACCCACCACACTTAGGGATGTGTCACAGACATTTTCACACTTTAGTGTTTAGAAAAAGTTTGTCAGCACTTCATCCTGTGTACCGGCTGTTTATCTGGCAGCCCGAGATGCCAGCAAGGCCCCCGTTTTCCCTCCCTTCATGAGCTGCCACACAAGGAGAGAGGAATGTGCAGGCCAAAAGGATTTTCTCTCGCAGGCTGTTTTCTAATAAAACCCTGTATCAGTCCTGTCTGGATAGGGAAACAAAACTGCAGTTCTTCAGAAATCCTACTTTTTACTTTGAAAACATTCTTTCTCTCCTCCACACCCCCCAAATATTTCTCTCTAATAAAGGTATGTTACAGGTACAAGACGTACAATTTGTATCACTTTTCCTTTCATGTATCATGCCCTCCTCACCCCTCTCCTACTTTGCCTATTACATGTAAAAGTGAGTAGTTCCAGTTAAAGGGGGATTCTTTTGCTGAACAGACTTGAAAAGTAAGAGCATTTTCTCTGCTATTTTCTTCCAGCACTCACCTACACACATCCCTCAGGGCTTGCACTTGGAAAATGGCACCTGTGATTCTGCCCTTGGATCACTGCTCTTTAAGAGTGTCCTCACTTTAACTCCCACAGTGACTTGTCCCAAGCACCTTTCACCTACTGTGAGTTTTAATAAGCTCCTGTCTGTGCCCAGCCTGAGATCATCATCATACTTTTGAAATCTAAACTAAATGAAGCATTTAAAATAAACAAAGCCATCTTGTATCCTCTTCCACTCTGAAGCTGTTCATTATGGCTGTAGCATGAAACTCTATTTCCAGGAAAGCAAGTGTGAGGCAGAAAGATGTTTCTGTGTCCCAGGTCTCTGGTGAAGCAGAAGAGGGGGGTCAGAGGCAGCATCCTGAGCCTCCCAATGTAGGAATGAAAGAACAGTTCTTGGTGACATACCACTGCTACTGTGTAGTAAACAGCAACCAAAAATCATTAATTACAAAAGAAAACAGTTCAGTAGTTCCTGTTTTTGTACTCTTCATTCACAATATTCTTGGACTGTTTCTAATGGAATTAGCATTACCACGTTAGGGAATACATCCCGAAACTATGACAGTGGTGGGGAAGACCTTGACTGTACTCCATGCAAGAAAGGATTCTCTTTCTGTTCTCCCACAGCTGTGCAGGTGCCACAGCTTCCACTGCATCCCCCTCCCATTTCTGGGAAAATGTCTTCCTATTTATGCTGTAATTATTTTCATTCTAATTCCTTCATGAGAAACTCTCACAAAACTACAATAGAGTGGAACGGAGCAATGACAATGACTAGACAAAAAGTGCTGTAAAATACAAAGCAAATAGGCTCTTCTATTCCCCTGATCTTTTTAAGTAAGAGAAATCTTAGGTCCTAAACATGAAGAATAGCAGGCAATATACCCTCAGACAGAAGTGCAGTTTTAAGCAAATACTTTACCTTTACTGCAGTGAATTTTAACTCATCCTATCACAGGAGAGGTCTTTTCTGTAATTCAGCATTCTCATGACAGTCAAGAATATTTGCCCTATCATTTCAAGAGTTATATTCCTTATATATCAAACCATAACTTCTTTGTTAAATCTCAGTACAAGTTTTTGCACAATTTGCAAAAAAGTTACAGTGAATACAGCTGTTCTTAAACAAATAACCAAACTAAACTCATCAAGTAAAGGTGAGAAAGGTCAACTCTCTTTGTTGCAACCAAGAGAAATGTAAGAAGAGAACAAAAGGTCTAAGAAAGGACAGTTTAGTCAGATTTCTAGGATCTCCTGTTTTTGCAATTTCAGGGAGTATTGGGAAATTGAATAAGAAAAATATTTTAATACTGCGTTTCAGTGAAAGAGCTCATTTTCATCATTCATGGGCTTCATAAGAATTGGGTACAAGAATGAAAAACTCTCTGTAAAAATGAAGCTCCATTTAGTATCTGTGATTGGCCCCCAAGTACACAATGACACGATTTTCATACACCTTCTTCATAGTTTTCTCAATTTGTTTCAAAAATACTTGTGGAATTCTCCCACATAAAGTGTGCACTGTATCCAGAAACTTAGACTGCAGAGGGTAGTACAAAGATTGGAAGAGATTGTCTTCAAATGGAAACTAAAAAAAAAAGAAAAACCAATTATTAGTTTTCACTAGTTACAAGATGGCATTGTAGAAGTTTCTGTAAGATAGAACTTTATGTAGGCAAGCACTGACTTGTCCCTCACCTTACCAGTGTCATCACAGCCTATCAACTTCAAACATTCATCTGCCTGAGAGGGCTTGGCTTTCAGAAAAGTTTGAAATAGCCAACTTCCCAGAAACTGTATTTCTAGGCTCTGTATTTAAAGGAGGTGTACTAACACAGGGATACTGAAACAAAACACATATTTTAGGGAGTGGAGTTGTACACATACAGCGTTCAAAGTGGAGATAGGGACCTGTGTCTGTATGCAAGTTCCTGCCTTCCATGTGCCCAGGGGCTCTAGGTTCTCAGGGAGAACAAACTTTCAGTGGGTATTTCTGCACCAGGGCTGCAGTTCCAGCAGGAAGAACTCCAATCCAACACTTTTTCCCACCTTCAGTGTTACAGAAAAGCAATTTATCAGCCGCTTTGATTAGAAGTTTACTATAATATGAAGCAGAAATGTTTCAAACACCTCAAATACATGCATGCAGTGAGAAAGGAGAGGCCAAGGGAGCCTTGTTATTTTGTGTCTGCCTGGTATACATGAAGCACGAGGATGCTCAGCCTGATCTGCTGGAAGAGCAATCTGGGTGACCCGGTTCAAGCGATAACCCACATTGGAATAAAAGGACTGCCTCTACCAACACTCACATCACGTATCACTTCATAGAGTGCCTTGAATGTAGGCTGTTTGTCATCGTGGTAGACACCTCTATTTCCATGCAGGATGGAGACACCTTCTTCTTCTGCACCTTTACAGTTGCTGCCGTACATACAGTGATCTGGCCGGTAGTTCCACTGACATGGAAACACGTAGAGACACTCTGCCAGTGTCAGCCAGGGGAGAGGGGGGGAGGGAAAAAAGAGACACATCAAACAAGATTTACAACAAATGAAACCATGTTTCTGTGAAAAGGATGGAACTGATGATAAAAAAAACCAAAACACATTAAAAAATAAATAAATCAGTTACTTCTTTTGCAAATATCCCAAGCAGCAGCGAGACACAGAAGCCTCCTTTCCTCAGGGGATGACTATGCAAATCCCAGCACTGTTAGACCTGAACTAACAGAGAGAGCAACACAAAGAGTGGGTGCAAACATAAACCAAGGGAGCAATTTACAAAGCTACAAGTGCCAGAATCAGAACCAGAGAGCATGCACCAGGTGGCATGATCCAGGGTCCTCTGCCCTAGTAAGAAGCTGCTGGAGTTACAGAAATGACTAGGGAAGCACAAGCAGCAGTGAGGGTTATGCAAAGTCCTGAATTATTCTGGGAAAACTTGCAAAGTACATGGAGAGTTCGGTGCTGAAGCTTTCCTTGAGGCTATGACAGTTTGCTACACTGAGATACAGCAGAGCATTTATCCACTGTCCTTCTAAGAGACATCATGCATTAATTTCACAGGTCCAGGTTATTTAAAGATGAGCCTAATTTCTCAAAAAGGCTTCCTTTCTCCTACTGATTTTGTTATTTATTTTTTTTTACACTTTCTCTATGTATCCACAGTATTTGTAATATGCTTATAGTAAATCACTCCAGTCCCTGTGACCTTTTTGCTTCAGAACTGGAGCACAATGAATCACTGCCCTGTGCTGGCAGGTTGTGTCAGAAGTACTGAAGATGGAATTTTTCGCTTGGCCTTTCTTAGCTTCCCAGAAAGTCTGCAGCTGGTCCTGTGTGGTTCTTGAAGCAGGACAGTAAGTTTCTGAAACACTTCCTCCCTTTGGGTCTCCCTAGCTCAAGAAAGGGTAGATTGTAAGTGGTTTTCATTTAGTTTGACCTATCACACATTCAGAATTGCTCCCCAGTGCTGCTGAATGGGCAGGAAGAGCTGTAAGGCCCAATCCAAACCCTGTTACACTTAACAGGGATCTTTTCAGGAACCCTGAACAGATGTTTGCAAGTATAGCTCATCAGCAGGTCACCATGGGGAGAGGGTGTCATCAGGTGCTTATTAGCTTTCATACATGTCCCTTGAGTATTCTTGATCTTCTCCTCACTGTGGCACTTTTGTGCATCTTGTGCTGTCACAGCTGGACCCAAACTCTAGCTGCTCTTCGAGCCTTCAGATCCATTAATCATCAGAACAGCCTCTGGAGATGGGAAACAGGGCCCCAGGTAACACAGTTCTGTGCATTTTCAAGCCAATGCACTGCACCTATAAAAAAACACCTGCAGCAGTCTTGCCTGATGCCTTCCCAGGCCAGTCTCAATCATGCAGCTGTTTAAAACCTCAGGAAAGTCTATTTTTCTGTTTTAATTGTATCCAGTTCTTTTGTTCTCTTTTATTGTGCAGTCTGATGTTATGTAACCCCTAAAAAATTATTTCCCAGTTACAAAGAAAAGACAAACTATGGTCCAGAAAAGAGCCTTAGCATGTGGATTTGATAGAGAATGCTCTCATCCCAAAATTAAGATATTTTTGCAATCTCTGTTTTTTTTTCCTCCATGCCTAAGTTGCCAGCTTGAGTCTGACTGCCCAACTAATCTGGCTTCATCTGCCTCTTCCTCCAGTAGACCCTACTCCCATAACATGAATTTATTTTTTTAAATTAATTTATGATTTCATAATAAAGATTTATTCCACTTTGTTTTTTCCCTAGGATTGAGAGTAATACACGGTGAACCAGGGACAACTGATGTTTGACATCTGTCTTCAGTAAACAGATGTCAGCTTATGGCTTTGCTTTTGCTCTCTGCTTTTATTTGCCCGGATTTGGGTATATCCAATTACCCACCCTATGGCTCCTTAGAGAAAAAGAAAAGGGAAAAGAATAAATAAAGATAAATCCAAACTTATTCTGTTCTTAAGATCACTCGAGGGAATATGGGGTCACAGAGGAAACAAAGAGAAGAGAATAAGAATGGATGCTCAGCATATTCAGAAGCATGAAATAAGGTTCTTAGCCTCTTTGGGAAGCACGTTCTCTGCTATAATTTTGAAATTCTTGCATCTCTCAGATGTTACTGGTTTGGAATTGCCTGAAGACATTTCTGTGTGATCAGTGCAAAATAGTTACAAAGGGCTGAATTTCCAGAAACTGCCTCAGCACTTGTGGAAAAAGTCACACCCTTGTAAAATAAAAGATGGCTAAACTTGCCATGAAGTCCTCCACAGCTCTTCACAGTCCCAGATCACTTTTTTTTTTTTTTTCTTTAAACTTGTAAAGTTAAAGAAAATTTCTCCAAGAATCATTACTTACCTGGGTTAAAGTAAAAAATTATATTTAGTAAATCCTGGTCTCCCCACGTAATGTAATTTTTATATTTTTGGTATAAGGGATATAACATTTCCTCCCAAGTCAAACCACTTGGTATCAAGCTGTTCTGCAGGGCAGAAAAACAAAAGCAATGGGTTAACACCTATATGTGATATATGACTCAAAGTGTGGCACCCATATATTTTTAAATCTGCTAAACCATGGCAGATACCTAGGTGAAAAATGAAGAACTGCCAGGAAGTGTTAGACCTGGATAGGGCTGGAACACCAGGGCCGACTGTGCTCCTGTTTATCTAAACTGGAAAGGAAGGTCTCCTGGGTTGAGCTCTGATGTCAGCTCCTGCTATTCACAATCTTCCTATTCTGAGTAACAAGAGGGAGGAAAAGTGGAAAAATGCAAAAATGCAGGGACAAGGTGAAAACTGAGTTATAAAAGTGAGGAATAATGTCGACTAAACATTATCTGCCCCAAGAATTCTGTTATTAAGAGCAAGGGCTTTTTTCACTCCTGCTGATTCTGTAATGGCACAGGAAACCTCTGTCCCTGATTGAGGAACAAGACCACTTGGGGTAAATGAAGCTTTTAAAGATATTAGAGAATATGTGCTCAGTGAAACAGAGATTTTACAAGTCAGACCTTTCATAAAAGAGGACAGATGTCAGAAAAAATGTTCCCTTCTCATTTATATTAATTCATAGAGTCACTTGATATGCAGCAGGATACAAAATTCTATTAATAGCAGATGCAAAAATTTACCAGTTTCTCCAGACATTTACATCAAGTTTTCTGATTTTAAAAAGGATACAGTGACTGCACTGGAGTTTCTCAGGTTTATTATTTCATGTATCTTTCAAGGGAAAATGAAATATTGAAGCTGCCACTTTTACTATTGCCAATGGACTGGTTCGTCTGCAAGTTCTCACTGCTCCAGCCCTTTGAGTAAGTTTCAGTTGTTTTAATAACACTTTTCATTGTAATTGCTTTTAGTATCCAATTACATATATTCTGTATTTTTCAGATTCTTTTATCACAAACCTCATATAATTTTTAGACTAAGTTTCACAAGATGTGCAAAACACAGAAGTGATCAGTTTCTGCAGCAGCTGTATTTCCTCTCACCTTGAACTGCGTGTTGCGTATCCGTGTTAAATTCATTAGCATCACTCCAGAATTGACTCCAGTTGTTCCATAATAAGGGTGACGTGCAAATCGACTGTACCAGCCAATCTTTGGTATTTCATGTTCTGGGGCCATAGCAGCTAGCTGTGTGGAGTTGAACTCTTGCAGGATGTGCCAGATGTCATCGATGGGCCTCAGGAAGAGAACATCAGTGTCCACATAAAGGAGAGAATCCACATCCTTTAAAATGACCTTTTGGGTTTGCACAGCAGGAAGAGGAAGAGGTGAAAAAGAAACCAGACAACAAAAAGGAAGATTATTGGCAAAAGCTACTTTCATTTCAAAGTGGTAATTCAAAAAAGGTTATTGATTGATCAGCTAAATATAATTACACACAGGAATGACAATTATCAGGTTATTGGCTTGTTGTTTGTTTTGCTGTTGTTTTTTTTCTTAACTGCACAGCAAAACAATTATCAGACCACAGACAGAAGTTGGATTCTAACCTTCCAATGAAACAGTTACCCACTGAGCTCTCAAATCACCTGCAGGGACTATTTAGTATCCATTCAGAAATAAAATGCAAAGAATATACATTTCCATAGCTTTGTTAGTTCTTTTGAAGGTCTCTAAGTGGTGAGACAAAACTTCCTCCATGGACAGAGAGGGTAAGCTAGTACAACAGAAAACTTTTCATCTCCAGGTGGCACCAGGTTCCTTACACTTTTCTCATGACTGTTCCTCCTATCACAGCCTTGTGCTCCTAGGAGCCTTATACTCAGTACTAATATATACATTATTTATAGACAAAAGTTTCACACTTTTTATGGAAACTCTATTGATCACAAAAATATATTTGCATCCTGCTCAATAACAAAATGTGCTTGATAAATAGGAATGTCATATTAAAACTTATCAGCTCAGATTCTGATCTCTGTTATCAGAAGTCACCACAATAAAATTAGTCAAGGCAGAAGGGTGTAAACTGTGCATTAGAGCCGGGATGTTTAATCTATTCTTGTTGACAATGTTCCCCCTTGTGGCCAACCAAATCCTTACATTCTCATTCATTAATTTTAGTAGGGCAAATTATAGAGTACTTCAACAGCCCAAAAAAACTCCCTTGCTGTTTCCACCAGCTATTGGTAAGGTTGTTTGCTGAGTAATAAATAAAGCCAGCTATAAGTTCCAACTGCATTTTTGTTGCTCTTCTTCATTATTTGCTAAATCCATCATGAAACTCCTGAAGGACTAAGATTTTCTTACTTTGGTCTCAGCCAAAGCTTTTTCTTTGAAAAATAAATGCAAAAGGCTATAGATTTTCACTATGCCATGGAACAGAACAATCACACTTTCATCCAGCTGCAATGATACTAATGACAAACTCTTCTATTTATACAGGTTACAATGAATTCTACTAAACAAACTGAATTTTACATAAATTGAAATGCATAGTAACTGAAGATACCTGTGTAAGACAGTGAACAACACTAAGATTTTTAACAAATGCGGGGAAAAAAATTACCTTTAAGCATGTGTAACAGGCATCCACCAAGATGCCAGATCTGTGAGTCCAGACTTAGATGAGATTTCTCACCTGACTGAACACTTCAGGATTCAGACTGACACTTAGCCAAGTTTAACAAATCCCTGACATGATAACTACATGTTCCTCCTACACAGCAGGACAAGCAGCAAGTGTCTCTACATTTAAAACAAAAATTATGCTTACAAGAAGCTCCATGTAAACTAGTCCAACAGGATCCAGATTACTCTGTTGGATGGAAGGTTATAGCAATACACCATTTTTCCAGAAAAGTATGACACAACATGTGAAGGTATCAACAAATGAGTGACACAAATAGTTCAATAACACAGTAAGAGCACAAGTGACAGCCTGGGTGGTCATTGCTTCTTCCAGCAGAAAACTGTTATTTCAGCAACCCTAAAGATGCACATAAATTGAAGTCTGTGGAAGTCAATGGACTGTAATAATTTTCCTATATCTAAATGGATTCAAGTAGGTATTTCAGTTATCTGTGAAGTGGGTGCCTATCAGCATTAGACCCCCTGCCTTCTGGCCTGCTTTAAGCCCTTCACGCTTTTCTCTTTCACATGTGAAGTGTTAAGACTTATTTAAAACCCACACACATCAGTTTGAAATTATTGCATCCCCTTCTGGCTGTGCATTTAACTTTGCCTTGGGCAGGGGACTCATTTCAGAAATTGTGGCTGTAAGAGTTCCTTGCATAGCTCTTGGGATTTCAGTGGAGTTACACTGGGAATAAACTTCATTTAAATAACTCTGGCATTCCCAATGGCCCATGTCTTTTAGGTAGCTCTGTTCCCAAACTAAGTAAGAGTTTTTTAAAAAAATAATTTTAGGTTTTACACAGCCCTTAGAACGATATTTAGCTGTTACTTATTCAAAAGCATACAACAGCAGACGATGCATTTTTGACTCTGCTGATTCTCAGTGTCAGAAGCAGGTGAGTACCACAAGGCTGGCCCGTGGCACAAGAGCCCGTGCCCCAGCTTGCTCTGCCTGCGCCAGACGCTGCCCAAGGGCTGGCAGAGCTGAGCCTGCCAGGAGGGCAAAGCACAGGGATGTGGCTGCTGCAGGTTGAAATGACATGCACCTGACCTGGAGCATAAGCAACGCCAGACTGTGTCTGGTAGTCTGGGCTCACACTTGCCAGCACAAACCATGCAGACATCCCTGACAGGCTGTGATTTCTGAAAGGAACGGTCAGGAACGTGGCTGGATTGTGCTTGTCTTCCTCCTGGCTCCACGGGCACTTACAGCTTAAATGAAGTGTGATTTTTTGCAGTTATATAGAGTGTTCTCAGTAAATCTGTCAAAAAGTTCTGCACAGAACTGGCTATATTTAGCCTGGCACTTCACTTAAATACTCAATTATCTGTAATTTCATTTCACAACTTCTGTCTCCATAGAGTCTCCCCGTGTTAGCAAGGTTGGCAAGTAATAACACAGTACTGTGTAAACACATATTGGTGATTTGTGAAGCTGTGCTACCTACTGGTTTACAATGACTAGCATGGCAGTTTGTCACAGCTTTATCCAAAATTAGGGGACACATCACAAACCTTGATGCTAATGTCACAATACTACAGAACCAAGTTACTAAACTTCATTGTAGTAAGGAATTGACTCAAGTTACAAGCAACAGAGACCTTTGTCTAGATAAGGTCCCGGCATCTATTCCCAGTGCTGCCACTGATCCACTGGGTTGGATACCTCAGCATACTCAAGAGGACAGCTATAATACAGGGATATTGCTAATCTACCTTAAAAGCTCTTAAGCAGATTAAGTGTTTTGAGCAGGGTTCTATATGTTCACTACTATTAGAACTAAAATCACCCCAAAATCCTTTAAGCATTCCATGATACTTTAGCTGATTGTTTTGGTAGCTCCAGAACAGCCCCAGAGACAGCTGCAAGCCAGCTCTGTGGTGTGCAACATTCCTGAGGCCAGAGGACAGTTTTCACCTGGTGTCTTAACAACCATGTTAGTATTACAAAACAGTTTTGAGTTATTGCTGAGAGCATTACCCTCCTAGGTTTTTTTTAAGTTTCATTTTGTGCTCATGTTAAGATCCACATCTTCCTCATTGTGTCTTTGCAAATCCTGTTGGTGGTTTTACTGGAGTAGAGTACAGCAAGAGACTTAGACATGTGAGATTATGTGGAGGCTCACTCTACTCCCTGCTTGTAAGTAGCAAACATGATTAGATGTCACAGAATGCCTCTGTAAAATGTAGGAAGCCGTATAATCTTCCTTAACATTTTAGTAACCCAAGATTCAGTGTGTACATCAACCTCTCATCCAGGACAAAACAGTTCATTATGACAAGCTTCAGGGTCACATCCCCTTGCTCAAGTTTTATCAGTGAGTAAAACCACTGAAAGATTCTTATGCATTTTTCCCTTAACACACTCCTGTACCCTCCTATCCACTTTCACATGCCTGCTGGTGCTGCAGGAAAGAGATTTCTTTGGCAGGAGAGGCACTTATGAATCAAAGACTCACATTCCACTCAGGCTTAGCATTATCAGGAGCAAGACAATTTGCACAACTGAGGGCTAAACAACTGATCCACTCAACTACTGCTCTCCTGGAGTCCTCCCTAAATCCAGTCACATTATGCTGCTGCAGAGGAAAATGCTTAGGACAGGAAAGGATAAGAAAAAAAAAAAAAGGGATACTGACATCCTGCTGGTATTTATTTAAAATACAAGTCAAAATAGCTCTCCAAACAATAAAGACAAAACCTTCTGGTCCTGCTGTGTGCAGACTGGATTTCTACAGCAGTGCCTCATTCAAAAGGGATATCAGACCTAGTCATCAAGAACTGATAAAAGTAACAGTGGCTGAAATTGGGCAGAAACAGCCCAAGGTTCTGTCAGCCTGCAAACTTGAGTACCAGAAGTCCAACTGGACACTTGCCACCTCAGATATTACTAGAAATTGTTTTCTTTGCTATAATCATATCAACTCAGTGTCAGCTGCAACTCCTCTTGGACAACCCTTGCTATTCAAAGCCATAAACCTCAGCCTGACCACACACAACATCTTGCAATTGCCCCAAGAGAAACAAACATTTACAGTTCATACTGCCTCCTCGTTTTGCTAAGACAACATGCAACAGCCTTAATATTTCTTACAAGAAGTTACTGGAGAACTTTAGCAACATGTAAGTGATAAAAAAAGGAACCAAAAAAGCACAGCCTAAAGGAAACAGTATGAATACATCACTCTTTTCTGTCACCAGAAATGTGATGACAAATAAAAGTGAAGTCATTTCTGCGATGAGAGTCTACAAAAATGACAAAAAATATATACTACAGAAATAATAAGAAGAGAAAATGGAGTTTACCCAGTGAAAACAACCCCATTTGAGTACACCTTTACAATCAATCTGTATCGAACAAGCAAATGCTTAGGGATTATTTTTCATGGGATACAAATATTTACTCAGGGAAGAGAGGATCTCTGCTGAAGGTGGAGTTACTTTCAGCCCATCTGGCCTTTGCACATTTCATAGTCTACCCCTGAAAGGCAGATGAACAGAACTGCTGACAGCACATACTTTCTCACATATGTATTCACAGTCTACGTATCTGGACGTGCAGCTGTCTCCTGATTGTTTCCATCTGAGAAAGTAAAGATTTCTTTGTCTGTCCCCCCCAGTTCTCATAAGACAATGAAGAAATCTGGATCATGTGAATAATATGTCACTTTATTGGAGGCATCCCAATCACCAGCAATGCACAAGATATTATTGATAGATGTTTGCTGTTCCACAGAAATCACTTTGTGCAAAGGTTCTTCCAGTTTCTAATATTCCTGCACATGCAAAATTGTTACCAATACCTTCTTTCTCTCCAACAACCTTAAATATTCTTCAGGTTTATGACACTAAGTATTACACAGTAAAGAACAAAGTTTCAGTGAACCTGAAATCCCAGAATACATAGTGCTCTTGCATGAAATCTGACTTTAAGAACAATGGAATTAGTACCTTAAGGGCACATCTGACAGTATTGGAAAAAGAAATAAAACTCAAGGAAAAGGGATTGCTGAAAGCATCAGTCTAAGGGCTAACGTATGGAAAGGGAGATAGTGAGTAAGGAGGGTATGATGACTAACGCTGAGAAGAATGTCATTTATGGAAAGCATGCAGCATCTACCCTGAAAGCATCTGCCCTGAAAGAGCTCTCAAACTGAGTCTTGAGAGCCTGAGAGGCTGATGGAACCAGAAACAAATAAGAAACACACATCCTTTGTTAGCAGGAGAAAAAGCAAAGCTGGATTCCTGTTTGGTTTTGTTGTGTTTTTTTAAGTGGCTAAAGCACAGACTAAAATATCTTTAAGCATATGTTTCAGCCTGAAAATTATTATAATATTACACCAGCAAAGCTTCCTTTCTGTGGAATTAAACCTTTCCCTGATGCAACCTACTCAGAAATCCAGGTGCCTTACCGGAAGAAAGAGGCGCTGAGCAGCACATGGTTTGAATAACTTTTTCCATTCCTGAGCATTTCCTACTGAGAAGGTTATTGGGTAAATATTGTACTCAAACTTCTTTGTATAGGAGGAAGGCCATTCCTTTAACTGAAAGACATGGAGGGAGGAATTAGACACTACATGTTATATAGCTTTTTAAAAATAAACAAACGTGTGCATAAGGAATTTATGAAGAAATAACAGTAAAAAAAGGGGCTTAGCTGCTACTTGTTGATGTCAGTGCAATTTTCCTCAAATATCTGTAAGTTATAACAAACTCATTTATTTATTTACCAAATGACAAAGAAACTCACCTTCTTCTCAAATTCAGGCTTAAGGGAATCCTCAGCAAAAATGTGGAAACAGAGCCTCCTGTTGCTGAAGAGAACTGCTGATTTCAGCATGATCAGTGTCTCTTCCAGTCGGTCCCCACATGCCACCACTGCCAGGTGCATGCATGGTGAAGATGAAGGCTCTTTTGAATTTCTCTGTTCTCCAGGCTTCCTGAAAATTCATCAACAGGCATATAAAAATACTGATGTAAACATGAAGGGAATCCCACATTAACAGATATCGGAGTTTCTTTCTTCCCTTTCAGGAACATTTTTTTTAATAGGTATCCACAGAGAATCCAGGTGACATGCCAATTTTTGTCAATGGTACAAATAAAAAATGTCAAAATTACAACACAAAGAAATACACTATTGTCAGAAGTGTTCTGGTTATTCCTACATTTCTGGATTTGCACCAATCACTACACAACGTACACACATGAAACTAATTCAATAGCACCTCAAACCAGACAACAACTTGCTCTGTGCAAATGATAGCCCTTTTTTTTTCAGCTTAGAGGTTATGAAGCCAGAATGGACTTATTAGTACCTGGCCAACTTTCTAACACAATGCAGATTACAGAACTATATCCAGGAACTTCACTACCAGGCCCATAACTTTTGGCTATACTGGAAGACATGCATACTTTAAAAAAAAAACACAACCAAACGCTCCATCCATATGTAAATTATTCCAACAGTTAATTAATTTTGCTGTTAAAAATGCATGTCTTAATCCTGGCCTGAAGGTACTGGCATAGTTTCAAAGAACTGCTCTCCATTGCACTCAGTGGAAACCCTGAGATTTTGCTAAAACAGAGATTTTTGAAAACAAACATATTCACATGTCCCAAATGAACCAGACTATATTCCACAAGCAGTCAAGGGCCAAACTATGCTTTTTTCACTTAGCACACATCTGTGTGGCTTTAAATACATTTTAGCTATACCACAGGGGAATGGGCATGTAAAAGGCACACTGAAGCTACTTGCTAGCCAGAAAAATCAGTATTCTTTTGAGGAGTTGAAGACATTTTGAAAATACAGCCTTTGGGGTTCGTGTGCCCTGCCCCCCCCCATCAGTATGGAGGTAAAATCACATCACCCAGGAATCCTTCTACCCTACTGCATTCACATTCCAACACGGATGGCATTTATACTCCATTAGATGGATGTGTGCTGACAAAGCAACCGAATTACAAGCATCATAATCATTACAGGAGAGTTCAAAAGGCTAATCATAGATCACTGCCAGTTCTTGACATATCACTGAGCAGAGGACATCAATCCCTGCCTCTTCTCAGCACACACAATTAAACAGCAAAGTTAATAGTAGAAATTAAAGTTCTAAATAAAGAGAGAAATGACAGTTAATAAAGCTGTCATTATCTTTTTGCAGGTACTAAAATGCTGCTCTGTTAACCAGAAGTGTTTTATACTACAGAGTAATCCACTTCTGTGTTAAGGAATACCAGCCAGCAGTACTTTACTGACTATACAAAGCAACATGTTTCATTAAGGGTTTAAAATCTTAGGCTTTAGTGTTAATTAAACCCCAATTTCATCAGTGTATAAATAATGGAACACTACATCTATGTGAAGTGGTATTTACTTCCCAACCTATTAGTGTAAAAACCACTGAATTATTGAAGTGAATAATTAGCTGCTCACACAGATCCCCTTTTCCCCCCTTCTCCTATCTCTTTAATGTTTCCTCTTAATTGAGTCTCTAAATCAAGCCATATGCAAGATGAGAACTGCTTTGATACAGCTTGTGGCAATGAGATTCACTGGGAGAGGGACTAAACTTTAAGCTTTTATTGCAACACTTCAAAACCCAACACTAAAGCACTAAGTTTTTCTCTGCAAATGTTAGCCACAGTGAACTCTCCATTCTGCAGCTATTTTGGAGTGAAAAACCCAGTATTTGTAGACAAGCACTTCCAACAGACTTGGAAGAAGCAACAGATGAAAGTAGAATGCCTCGTAAGCCCATGGGAGCTACTGAAGGACAAGAGACAGACACCCTCCCAGCCCCAGAGGGTGGAGGAGAAAGCTGAGCCTTGGCATGAGTAATCATGAATCCCCACGGCTTGTGCTGAAGGCATTCAGGACCCTGAACTGGCCTGAGTAGGAATAAAAATCCCCAAGAAGCATAAGGTAGTGTTTGAATTACCTCAGCAGCAGTCTGGGACACTTAGGGCAACAGTTAGTGAAGAAAGTAGCAACGAGGTTCGGAAAACTGGTGGGACACAACATTTTGCATCTTCACTAGAAGGAAGTCAGGAGCACTGTGAGAACAAAGGTGAGCTGGAAAGGGACATACAAGAGTGCCATAGCAAGACACATTTAACAGCAATGTTAGCTTAGCCTTTACAAAATTACTGTTGTTAACCAGAAGTCTGAAAACAGGCAGGTGTAAAGCCAAAGTCAAACTGCTAGGAAGGCAAATTACAGCAAAGAACATCACAGCTCACTTTCCCTCTTCTGCTAAGACATGCACATACACACAGTGCAGAGAGGAAGAGAAGGGGTGAGCAGAAAGAACATCTGGATGAAAGGATATTCCTTACAGATCTGCAGGATACAGCCAATGTCTTCAAACCAAAACAGTCCAACAGGGACTGTTGACCAACAGGGTGTTTCTGTTGTACACACAATAACTGGCTCTGCTGGCTTATCTGGACCCCCTCTTGAGGATAAGAGGGCCTCCACCATGTGTTGTGAAGAGACAAACTGAAGGTTAGAATTTAGCAGTGGGCCAGCTAATTCATTTCTACTGGGATAGGTCAGGCTAGGAACCAGGAGCCTTCTCATTCAAACAAACGTAGTGCTGAATGAAAGACCTTCTGTAAGCTGAGGTTTCAGGCAAGGTGCACCCTGAATCCTGGTTCGATACAGTGTGTCTCCTCTAACCATAATGTTTGTTTATCACATCCTTACCAGTGGCTGAAGGTGAGAAGCTAAGAGCTTTCTGAAACACTACCTGCTCAGATGTTCCTGGACAAGGAACAAATGGAACAGGCGAAAGTTGCATTCTTTGTTTTAAAGGATGGGGTACATTAATACTGTGGTAAATTGTACAAAATAATGAAATTTGTTATATAGAATAAAAAACAGCTGGCAAGCAAGAAAGAATATATTGCTAGGCTATCAACCTATGACATTAATAGGCTTTTGACATAGAGAAGTACTCAGGCAGAGACTGAAGGGTAAGTGAGCACCATTTTTTGCTCCATTTCAGTAAGTCAGTCCCTGCAAAGCTTTGGACGAGTCATTGATTCTTTACCTTTCAGTTGCCCTACCTGTGAAATGGTAATAAATGTTACAGTAGAAAGTTACCTACCTCAAGAGACTTCCAAGCACATTAAAAAGCACATAGATTCACAGAGTACTACAGATATTATTATTAGCTAATTCTTTCTAATATTTATACGTGCATTCATTTATTTGTAGTCCAACTTACTGGTTATGGATAGAGTCTATAAGTGGATTTTATTACCTAAATGAAATGTTTAAATGCATCTAAACCAATACAATTACCTAGCCCTTAAATTTAATGTGCTTGGTAAGAACAAATAAACTACATACACAAAGACTTTATTGCCTTGATATCCTTCTTCTAATTTCAGTACATAAACATAGCTTTCCCCTCTCCTTTTGGCATTGTTTTCCTATTATATGCGTTTAAAATTAAGACTAAGCACTACAGAAAACATCACAAAATACTTGCAGAATACATCCCTGTGAAACATCTGAAGACAGACTTTGTAAGACAGCATGGGAAAACGTTCATAGCAAAGGCCTTTCAACCACACCGACCAACTCCTACCCACTTGCCCAGCGATATTTTATTTACTGCTTACATTTTTTTCTGACAGGCACGGGTACTGACATTGCAGGAGAAGCCTGAATACTCAAGCACAATGGTGTACATTTCTAGGTCTTAAAGTTTAGAATGCATGCAATTTTCTTATTAGTCACAGTCTAAGTGTCTCAAACATAATTAACCCAAAACCTGTCTAAATCAATCCAGATCCATTGAAAATAATGCATTCCCATCTCATCACAGTCTGCTAATCTATTCAAGCCTTCAAATTTATTCCTGAGAGAAAGATAATGCATGCAGATTCTTACTAAATGTGATATAGTTGTTAGTTTTTGAAACCTTCTTAGCATTATGATCTCATTCACTCTTGTAGCATAAACAAGGTTAGATTTAGGCAATGTATCAAAACTGGTGATTCACTAAATAGGCTCCTTTTGAGACAGTCAGCACTGAGTCAGTGGCCAAACACCAGCTCCATTATATGAAACACATTGTTTCACACACTTTAAAATATAAATTAGAGGAGCTCAAAACATTTTAAAATAAAGTTTTCTCACTTTAAAGCAGCTACACAAAACTGACTGTAGTTGCTGACAATCAAAAAATTGTTGAAGTTTCAGCCTCCTTCTACCACTTAGAGAAAAGAGAGAAAAACACTCAAAACCAGAATGGATGTTTGTATCTTCTTTTATCAAGTGTGTCCTTTTTCAGACAAGTATAAGGTATTTGGGCCTTCAGCATGTTGTTATAGCGTGTCCTTTGTCAGACAAGGTATTTGGGCCTTCAGCATGTTGTTATAGGCTATCAAACTCAAGCCAAACTTGCACGTGAGTGCACACAGGCTGCAAAGAAAGTATCTTGACAGGTTGCCATGTAAGAGATGTTTTGCTTTGGAAAAGTTACTTCCAGGGAACTAAATGTGCTGGCAGAGGTTCACTTCCTGAGGCTTGCCATGCTGCTTTAATAGAAAGTGTGGTCACATCTGCCCTTCAAATGTAAAATAACCCTTTTGCTTTTTGATACTTTGCACACAGTGGTTTGGCACATAGTTCCAATTCTTCATATGAAAAACATTTTACTGAAGGCACAGAACTTGTTACTTCCAAGAGGAAGGATCAGTAAAACCACCATCAAAAATAATTTTTCAAAGCTAACCAGAAACTTACATGCAATGTTCATCTAGATTTGCCAAAATTATCTAATGGGCCAAGCAGGACACTGGAACATATTTACTAACATTAGGTAGGTACCAGCCAGCTAATGATACATGAGTTAAGCTTTTATCCTGTATGACCACTTACATTTGAAGCAACCTGCCCTTCTTAACAATTAAAACC